GCTGGGTGTGAAGGGTGTGGTGGCGGAGAGGGTGGCGGTGGGGAGGAGGAAGGTGGTTAGGATTTTGGGGACGGATTTCGAGAGGTAGAAGGTTGGGGCTAGGTGTGTGGTTAGGAAGGTGGAGGTTGAGAAGAGTTTCTGCTGAAAGGTTAGCTGGGTTGTGGTTTGGTAGGGAGTGTGTGGGATGGGCCTACGGAGATGTTGGTGTTCCATTGGGATAGTGCGTCTTCTTTCGTATCGCCCTTCTTCCCCTTCCTGGCTGGCGTGGTCTTGGTGCCACCTTCTAGTATACCTCTTTCCTCGACGCTCAGTTGTTCAGGTTGTATTAACAAACACGCTTTGCATGTTTCTTGGAACGCGGTAAATGTCGTTGCCAGTCTGAGATGCACGTAGCGGTGGCTAAATCGACTCTTGACACGCTTCTCAAGACTGTTAGTCACATCGATGCGTGTTGTTAGGCCTAAGACCGCGATTGGCGCTTTCCGCGACTGTGCGATGTCGAAGAGATTGTAAAGCAACGTCTGGCGGGGGTGTTGAGCGAAGAGGTCAAACTCGTCCATGACGAAAACGACGGCTTTGGCGACTTCGTCAGTTACCTCCCCAGTCTGCTCGGATGGGTGGGAAAGCAGAGCGAGCAACGTTGCTAGCGTATCAGCGTAGTTCTTTCCTGGGCCGCTACCATCCTCCTCGATGTCCATCTCTTTCCCTAACTGGCGCCAGATGTCACGGAGTGCAATCTTGTCGTCTGTGTGGACAAAACCGTTCAGTCGGACGACGTGGTATTGGCCGCCGTTGTCCTTGGAGACTTCAGAAAGAACTTTGTTGACAAGTGCCGTCTTTCCACTACCCCGGGCTCCAATGACGAGCATTGAGTTGCCCTCGCCAGCAGTGATGGTATGCTCGACAAGTTGGTGTACAGATCTGTACTCTTCGTCTAAACCAACTAGAGGCGATGTACGTTTGCCGGTGATACGCTCCATGACGATAGTTTTCAAGAGATCAAGTTTGCGGCCCGGTGCAATGTCGCTATAGATGGCCGATGGAGCGAGCTTCTCCTTCTCCTTCTGTGCTGATGTAGGCTTGTTGAAGGGACTCGGTTCCGTAGGATCCAGCAAACTGTCCAGAATACTGTTCCCGTCTACCTCCATATCGTCCTCATCATGGCCATTGACCTGCTCCTCCGCATTCGACCAGCGCTCCTCGTCGTTGTTGGCGATGTGATCGGTGCGGTTGAAGCGTCTTCGCGCACTAGCAGTAAGCTTCCTGTTGCTTGTGGGAGAGCCATCGCCGAGTTCGTCCTCGCTTTCCGGTATGGTCGTTTGCTCTGCTGCTGGTTTTCGTCGCTTGGTGGACTTGGAAGGCGTGGCTGCGACTGCCTCTTCCGACTCGGGTTCTGTCGCTGCTGCCTTCTTTCGTGTACTGGTAGCCGGCTTTCGTACGGAGCGTGGCTTCGAGGTCTTAGCGGCTTTGGTTTCGTTCTGCAGCTCATCCGTCTCATCCTCCTCGGGGATAGGACTAGGGTCTCTCTTCTTGCGCGCACTCGCTCGTGGGGCAGCTGGTTTGCGCGCCGACGCTGCTGGCTTCCGTACAGCCTTTGCAACTTTTGCAGGTGCGATGACATCCGTCGATGCCTCTTTCAAAGCGGCCCGACTTGCAACTTCCGCCTTTGTAGGTCGCCCCTTTCCTCGCTTCGGTGGTGTGTTTGTTTGCGTCTCCTCCTTGTCCTGCGCCGCGATTGGGGTGTTCTCTTTGAGCGCTTTCTGCGAAGGTTTGCGGACCCGCGTTGGTCGTGAGGATATTTCGACGTTCAATGCGCCCTCGATGTCATCGTAGATGTCAATCTCTTCTTCTGCCGCACGCTTTGTCGCAGTGCCATTTGTTGCGCCCTTCAGCGCCCGGCCTTTACGCACTGGCGCTGGCTTCTTTTCCACATTCTGTTCAGAATCGCCGTTCGTATTCGTCGTGGTTCGGGCTGCAAGCCTGCCAGAGGCTTTCCTGGTTGACGGCTTTGTTGACGGGCTCGATTCGGTGCGCTTCGGGGTGTCGAGCTTTCTCCGCTTAGAAGAACGTGGCGATTCGTCCATTGCGGTACTTGGGACGTTTTATTATCGTATATGTATAGTTGATGGCTGTTCGTTATTGGGAATGCATCGTGATGGTCGTATGCGCCAAACGTTTCGAGGTGGTGAAAGCGCTGGCCAAGGCGCGTCAATCCCACAAGTCGCGTCGCGCTACAATCCCGCTTCCCGCCCGGGCGCCCCTGCATCATCCCAAGAGTCATCCACCCTCGCTTCTCTATGTGGAAGACGAGCACCAAACACCACACCAGCTGACCGTCAGTACTAACCGTACAATCCATATCGGATTGGACATTAGACTGAGTCATCATGGCTCCGCAGTCGGGCTCTTGTCGTAACTTTTGCGCTTTCCGACGGGCCCAGGGCCTCAGAGCCCCACTCGACCGTACATCGAGCACGCCCTACAAGTGATTCCCAAGCTAACGCCGTCACTATTTATCTCAACATACCATGGAGACTGTAAATAAGTATGAGTCTGCTGCCATCGATTCGACATCAAATTCGAGCACTCAATGGCTTCAACCCATAGCACCCAGGTCGATTTGACCACTTACCCACAGCAGCCTTCGGCGGCGACAACGGACATCGAAATACTACATGAAGATGATAACCAACGTCTTCACGACGACAATGGCTTCTCTCTTCCGCCCACCGATGGTGGTAAGGATGCCTGGCTCTGCCTGTTCGCTTGCTTCATGCTCGAAGCCATGATCTGGGGGTTTCCTTCCTGCTACGGCGTCTTTCAAGAGTATTATGCTACTAGTGAGGAGTTCTCCGGTCAAAGCAACATCGCCGTTGTCGGTGCTTGCGCAATGGTATGTTGTAAGTATCATTACTGATTACCATTCTAACACTCCTCCAGGGTATCATGTACATGGATATCGCGTTCTGGTTTGCCGTGCTCAAATACTTTCCCAAATTCCGCATCTGGGCCACACCAGTCGGTCTAGTTGTCGTTTGCCTCGCTTTGGGTCTTGGATCGCTGTCGACAAGCGTAACGCACCTCATAGTCACTCAAGGCATCTTGTACGCACTCGGCGGCGGCCTCGCATGGACGCCAATCCTCTTCAACATCGAAGAGTGGTGGGTACGCAGAAGAGGCTTTGCCTATGGAGCCACCATGGCTGGTCTAGGATTGAGCGGGGCCATCCTCCCTCTTATACTCGAATGGCTTCTACACTCTTACGGGTTTCGAACGACTCTCCGAGTATGTGCGCTCAGCTTCGTGGCCCTCAACTTTCCGATAGTCTTCTTCTTCAAGCCTCGTCTTCCACTATCGCAAACATCGCAGTCCAGAGGATTCGATCTGTCGTTCTGGACTTGTTCGAATTATCTTATCCTGCAATCCGGCAACATCATCCAAAGTCTTGGCTTCTTCCTACCAGCAATCTACCTGCCTACCTTTGCTCGGTCCATCGGCGCAGGTAGCATCGAAAGTACCGTCACTATCATCCTCGTCAACGCCGCTGCATTTGTCGGATGTCTGTGCATGGGTATCGCTACCGACAAGTACCATGTCACGACCTGTCTTATGGTCTCTGCACTGGGGTCAACAGTCGGCATCTTTCTCCTGTGGGGGTTCTCTACATCACTAGCGCCATTGTACATGTTTTGTATCGTCTACGGTGCCTTTGCTGGCTGTCAATCGAGCGCCTGGAGTGCAATCGTTGCAGACACTCAAAAGAAGCGCAGAGGCGCGGATTCTGGCTTCGTATGGGCGTGCCTATCAGCTGGGAAAGGAGTAGGCAACTTGTGCAGTGGTCCGCTCTCAGAAGCATTGCTACATGCTGGTGATTGGAGTGCAGGCTTTGCTTATGGCAGCGGATATGGCGCGTTGATCGCCTTCACAGGTGTGACCGCACTGTTGAGTGGCTGGGGATATGCTGCAAGGAGAATTGGATGGATATGATCCGATGCCTCTGGATGCCTGACGTAGTTCATTGCCGAGGTCTGCGTCCCGCACGGCAGTACGTCACACATCACGCCGTTACTACATTTCAAACACCAAGCAGGTCTCCCGATGCTCAAGTAGACGATGTGCCCGTTCCTGTTACAGAGCAACCATGGTCGGCATCTGGTTGCGCCAATCAGCTAGCGACATGCCCTCTTGGCGTCGAGGTACGCGTACGCCTGAAACAGACCCACCACTACCATCAACATGCGATCGGCCCTCCCGCTCGCATCTCGACCTCTCCCTCGAAACATGTTGGCTTTCTACCCAATCTATCCATGGCCATCGCAGCCTTGCTTTTACGCAAATTACCGACTTGGCCCTTGTCACCCACCTGTTTACAGCTTTGTTTTATAGCGCGCACAACGATTCCATTGGAGAAGGTCATGAAACTCCACAGCGATCGGCATGAAATCCCCATACTACAATTTACGAATCAGGCCATGCAGACGCGCTTCCTGGCTAGACCTGCAGAGATTGACCTACCAAGCCCGCGCCGCCGCGTCTTCGCAATGTCTTGATCGATCTTATCTGTAACTAGCAGGTGGGCGCACAGACGCTTGCTCATAGTGATTCTCCCAGCTCCAGCAACTTCAAACGACTGGGCAATCTGGGGGCGGCGGGCCCGCGGGATGCTGGTTTGAGATGAATTGAGTGGTTGATCATGGGTAGATCATGGCCTGGAAATCTCCGAAACGAAACAAGAAGATATATATCTAGGGCTCTCTGGCCTCAGTTTGTAGGATCATCAACACAGTTCTTCACAGATCAGTTGTCCAGCACTCTCTCTCTTCCTCTCTCTTCTCTCTCTTACACTTCGGGCAGGCCTTTCTTTGCTCTACCCAAGTTCACTCTCTCTCTAGATATCCTAGTGGTATATACATTCTTTTTGGCTGAGCCACTATCTTTACATTTCAACACCTTCAGCCTCAAACATTTACACGGACTTTCACGCTACTACTTCCATCAAGATGAAGTACTCCGTCCCCGTTGTCCTCGCTCTCTCGAGCAGCGCTGTCGCCTCTCCCCTCGGCGACTACCTCGACGCCATCTTCGGCACCAAGGACACCCGTCAGGCTCCTCCTCCTCCTGGCTTCCCTTCCATGGGCATGCCACCTATGGGCTCTCCCACCCCAGGCTTCCCTCCCATGGGTCCTCCCATGGGAACAGGTGCTCCAACACCTGGCTTCCCTCCCATGGGCGCACCAACGCCTGGCTTCCCCCCAATGGGCCCTCCCTCCGGTCTCCCTCCCATGGGCGCACCAACCCCCGGATTCCCTCCCATGGGCCCACCCATGGGCACCGGCGCCCCAACACCCCCCGGCTTCCCCATGCCCATGCCCACCGGCGGCTTCCCAGGCGGTCCCGGCGGCCCAGGCGGCTCCAGCAACATGCCACCTTCCTGGCCCGTCCGCGCGCGCGCCGTCCGCAACCTAGCCATCGACTACCAGCTCGCCCCGCGCCAAGGCGGCGACCTGCCCCTCCCTTCGTTCTCTCTCGCAGACCCCGAGAACGGCGGCGCACCTACTCCTACTGAGTCCCCCTCCGGCGGCGGCGAAGAAGCTCCAGGTGGCTTCCCGGGTCTACCCACTCCCACCCCAGGTGCCCCCGAGGGCCCCGGTGGAGGATTCCCTGCGCCCACAGGCGGATTCCCGGGTTTGCCTACTGGTGCGCCTGAGGGACCTGGTGGTGGACCGGGTGGTTTCCCGACGGATCTCCCTTCTTTCCCTATGCCGACTGGTATGCCTGGCGGTGCGCCTGGAGGTGGTTTCCCTGGTCTGCCTGGTACTGGCATGCCTGGTCTGCCTACTACCATGGAGACGATGACGCGTGGACCTAAGCCAACTGGTATGCCTGAGCTGCCTGGTCAGGAGGATGGTCAGCAGGGCCCTGGTGGTGACAACGGGTCTGGTGGCTGGTGGAGCTGGCTTGGTGGATTGTTTGGCGGTGGTAAGGGAGACGGCGAGGGTGCTGGAGCTGGTGAGGGTGAGGGTGCTGGAAGTGGAATTGGTGCTTAGATGCCCGATACCCCCTTGACATTTGGATGATCGGAGGAAGGAAAGGCGGGATGAAGACGTCTTGATGGCGCGATTGGTTTCTATTCTTGTCAAAATACTTTACACTTTCACTTTACTACAAAGAAATCATACATGCCAACACGGTAGAATGACAGACAAACAAATTATCTCAGCACAAGGATCACTTCCACACCATGTTCTCAAGTGTCTTCCATGGACTTAGTCAGATATCAAAGGTGAAGATAAGATGCAATTATCTATATCAACAACATGTATACCACAATGTTAAAGAACGTAAATCATCAAAATTGACCGCCGCCGTTGAGGGCAGCAATCGGGTATCTCAGAAAGGTAGGCCATGCCTACATCACCATCCTCCTCCTCCTCCTCCTCCACTAACTATGCTTCTTGAACTTTTTAGGGTTCCCGCACCATAATCTTTATTTTTTGCGTGACGGTCGTCGGGTTGAATTGACGCCTCCCAGATGCATATGCTTATGCTTTGTAATGCTTTCACTTTTTTTGAAAGTACCTATTATAACCGAATTGCGCCGAGATGTGAGAAGTCGGAGAATTTTGCGCTTGTTGAAGTGCACGAGTCCTGTTGAAAAAGGAACTCTGTTGCGTATGTTGTTGAAGATCGACATGAAAGTGGAGATTGTCCAAGGGAAGCTCCTCAAGAGTTGGGTCTTCATGTGTTGAATACAGTGAGACCGGGTGTCGTTGTAGAATCCAAGCAAGCCTAGTTGGACATTGCAAGGCTCCTCATGCCGTTCGTGACCTCGACAGCGGCTGCCTTGGCGGCGTCGATGAGGCTTGGGTTCTCTTCTTTGCGAGGTCCGACCTTCTCGCCGTTTGTGCCGTTCACATTGCTTTCGCCGTTGACTGACTTCTTCGCTTCATCTCCATTTGTGCTAGGCACGTCAACGCTGTTGGGGTCGACCAGGGGCTTGTCCATATCCTTGACTTCTAATCCGTCGAAGATGGGGAAGATGCCGCGAGTGGCGTGGAAGTCGTTATGTACTGTGAAATGTTAGTTGACAGAGCTTGATGGTTAAGCGGATATACTCACCGATGTTCAGGAGGTACCAGGTGTCAACAACATCCTGAATCACGTAACGTGAAGGACTGACACCAGCATGGCAGTTGGCCCACTGCTGTCCGAGACGGTAGAATTCGTCCTTCCAGGCGAGGAAGCTGACTGTTTCGACAATGGTTGGCTGCACAATCTCCTTGCCTGGGAAGACACCCCAAGTGACAGCATTTGGTCCTTCGTTGGGAGCGTTCGTCTTCAAATCGCCATCCTTGTTGACCGCGTAGTATGTGAACTCAGGGTCGCGCTCGAGACGTGTGATGATCTCCGAAATGTGCTCTGGAGAGACAAACACCTCTAGGTATGCCTTCTGGTAGACGTAACCGTTGCGTGGACCCCAACCAAAGACAGGGTCCGAAGACTTGGCTCCGTTGACAGCAGGCTGGGAGTTGATGGTCAGGAAACCGCGACGGTTCAGGTTAATGAGATCATCAGTGATGGATCCAGCTTCAGTCGTGATGGGCTGTTCACTCCACGGCAACGAGTCGAGCTTTCCCTCCATGTAGCGTACGAAGAGTTCGGACAGGTCCCTAATCGACATTGGTGTGCCCCATAGCTTGATGTTCTGTTCATTGGTTCCCTTCAGACCGATGCCATATGAGTCCAATTCACCGAACGCAGGCGAGCGAGAATCTCCCCAGCGACCGTTGGGGAACTCGTCCCAGTCTTGTGTGCGTGCGATGTACGATCGGTTGCGGTTGCGCCAGAAGATGGGTCGCACGTTCTCGTCGCGTCGGTTGAGGGCCAGGGAAGGCCGCCACGGAAGGGGCTTCTCTAGCGGTGACTCCGGGTCTGGTAGGAGGTCTAGTTCTTCGAGGACCATGCGGGTGGCTTGTGCGAGGTTCATGGTGTAGCTATATGGGAATTAGTCGGCGAGCTTCCAGTCTCGAGGACCGACTTACAAGTGCAGATGTATGATACCAGCATCGATCAGCCGCCGGCACATGTCTGCGACCAGAGTCTTGCCAACTTCACGGACTTCGACGTCGTCGTTCTTGACAGGCTCCAACGCCTCAGTCCAGTTCTTGGGAATGTTGCACTTGGTCCATTGGGCCCGGCGTAAAAATGCCGCGTATGTGTGGATCGGCATAATACCAGGAATGATAGGAACGTCGATGCCCTTGGCACGAACCTTCCTGACCCACTCGAGGAAGAGATCGGTATCGTAGAACATCTGTGTGACAATGAAGGTTCCTCCGGCATCCACCTTCTCCTTGAGATGGTCGATGAGCTCATCGACGTTGTCATTGTCGTCGCTCCCTTCGGAGTATCCGGCTACACCAATGTCGAAATGATTGCCGTACTTCTCCTTGATGTATACGACGAGGTCCTTGGCATATCGGAAGCCACCTGCCGTCGCCTCCCACTTTTCTCTCTCACGGGGCGGGTCTCCCCTCAGCGCGAGGATGTTGGTGCAGCCGGCGTTGTATGCGTCGCGGAGGGCGTCGTCGAGCTTGGACTTTTCCATGTCAGTGCACGTGAGGTGCATGCAGGTTTCGAGGCCGTAGACGGATTGTGCGACCTTGACCATCTCGCAGGTCAGCTTGGAGTGGCGGCCACCGGCGCCCCAGGTGAGATCGATGAACTGTGGACCGAAGCCATGCATGCGGTCCATGCGGTCGTAGAGGTTTTGGACTCCCTAGATGAAATCAGCTTCCTGCTCCTTGTGCCAGGGACATCAGGGTGCGGCGTACCTGCGCTGTCTTGGGCGGGAAGAATTCGAAGGAGAAGGTTGGCTTTCCCTCCTCCCGCGCCTGGGCGAGTTTCTGAGAGATGTGCATGATGGACAGGTGTAGGACAACTAGAAAAAGAAGAGGGAGGAAAATGTAGAGTCTGCGTCAATTCTCCCGACGTTAGTGAAATGTATATGAGAGATATGCACCCCGCGGTGGAATTCGGGAAATGTGCAAGGATGCTGCGTACTGCGGTGTTGACGAGCTATCCAAAGTATCGTTTGCGGGCCCAGCGATCTGCGAGTGTCCGCGACATGTACCACTGCTGTCTTGCGGTCGGTCAGTAGGCGGGAGGTGAGTGATGCGTTGATGTACAGTTTTCCTTAGCGGAAGGTTGACGTTGAAGCGGTTAGCGCAGTACGGAGGCACAATCGGAGCCCTCCAGCCCTGCCAAGCGTGGCCCATCTTCGGCGGTCTGCCATGGCTGCTCTGGCACCACTGGACGATCCGGTGGCTATACGTAACATGTGCATGCGGTGGGCGCGCGTCGTCACAGGAGATGCAGAGAGCGCTTGGGCAGGCTGCAAGGCGCGCATATTATAATGTGGCATTGAATGTGGTAATGGATGTGGCATGGAGCCCCACAAACGTGTCCCGTCCCACACGAGCTCCCCTCCACCGCTGGTGGCCGAATTGTCCCTTCCCCGGGTTTACCCTATGCGGTAACCCCGGATCATCATCGTTGCGCAAGAGTGTGCTTGGGAAGCTGCCAGACGCTCTACAAGTAACATTCTTCATACACACATACACAGACCGCAGCTATGCCGCCCATCACGCGCCCCCGCCGCATCGTCGGCGTCTCGCTGAAGATGTACTTCGACCTGCCCAGCACCCTGTCCTACGTCCGCGGCGTCTTGCAACTTGACGGCGACGCCTGGAACTCGCGCATCGATCTCTTCGTCATCCCCGACTTCGTCTCGCTCACCGAATCTGCCCGCATCCTCGAGTCCTCGTCTATCATGCTTGGCGCCCAAGATACCATGTGGGAGGACAAGGGCGCATACACCGGCGAGGTCAGCCCACTGGTGCTGCGCCAGGCAGGTGCGCGCATAGTAGAGATTGGACATGCGGAGCGGAGGGCCATATTCGGCGAGACAGACGAGACGGTCGCGAAGAAGGCTGGTGCAGCAGCGAGGAACGGCCTCATACCGCTGGTGTGCATTGGCGAGAAGACGCACCACAGCGTCGCATCAGCAGCTGTCGGTGCCGCTATACAAGAGTGCAAACCCCAGGTCATGTCAGTGCTGGCTGCCGTCCCGGACGACACTGAGGTGATCCTGGCCTACGAGCCTGTCTGGGCCATTGGCGCAAAGGAGCCCGCCGACCCCGACCACGTTGTCAATGTTACGAAAGAGCTTAGGAAGCTGGCTGCTGGCAGAGCGGGTACCACAAGAATCGTCTACGGAGGAAGCGCTGGCCCTGGCACCTTTGCGAAGATTGCCGAAGGCGTCGATGGCTTGTTCCTGGGTCGTTTCGCGCATGACATTAAGAATCTCAAGAAGGTAATCGAAGAAGTTGGCGGAGCTTGAGGTCGCTGTGGATGACCATACGGCCGTTGAAGCTCTCATTCTTTTTCGCATTGCTCATCCAGCGGGGGATCGGAGTCGGGGAAGGAGGAACAAGGTGAACAAACCAGCCGAGTGAGATTACTTATCTTCTCATCATCACCATCCATCTCGTCATGTGCGCAGGTATAAAGAGAATGACGTGCCGGCTTGGTACCTTCTCTCAAACTGATCCATCTCATCTTCTGAGAGCGCGTGCAATGCACCTTCCTCTTCTATCAGCACTTCTGTTGACGTTGCATCATGTTGACTGGCGTGGAACACATGTTCCTTCGCAAGAAGTGCCCAACTAATCACCGCTGTACGCAATCTGCTCGACTCGATCATCGGTACGTTTCGCGATCATGGCGAACGAGTTTATGACAGTCGTTCGGGACTAGGCAGGAGCGACGCGCGCCTGTCCATGCTGAGCAAGTACGGGGTCCCCAGGAGCAGAAGGTGCGAACGACGACGAGGAGACTTCGAGCCATCCAACATCCGAATGTACCGACGATCTGTATCTCCTTGTACCTTCTCACCAGCTTTCGGCACTTCAACATGGAAAGCACCGAAGACCGAAACTCTCCGAAGGCTACCCACATGAACTTTCAACGCCGCATGATCCACACT